TCAGTGTTGATTGTTTCTATCTATTTATCTATCATTTGCCATGGCACGGGTTTCTATATTTATTTGAATTTAGGCTATTTGATAGTTTAAACCCACCCATTTATTACATTAAACTTATTTAAGTACATAACTGAAAGAAACAGCACTGTGCGGGGAATCCGTTATTAGGATGTACCTGCTGCTATTCGGGCTGTCCTGGATGGGCTCTGATAGCGCGTCACCGTTGATGCTGCTGCGCGTTTATCTGATGGACCAGAGGCCGATGTGCTTTTATCTCCTGCAGCCATGACTCCCCAAGGACCCCGTGGAACCGCCGTCCAAGGCCTCTAACACAAACAATGGCACGCAAAAGCACCTTTATTTATTTATTTATTTATTTATGGATAGAGAATTGTGTCCCATTCAATTAAGGCATCCTTATCATAATTAGATGTCCATCATTTTAAAAATCTATTGTATCGGTAGCACATCCAGCCTCAAGGCGCAGACACAGATATGGATTAATGGATATGACCTACTCTTTTTAGGAAAATAAAATAAAATAAAAAGGATAGACGGCTCTCTGATATGAACAGCTATCTTATTGCAGGATAAATGGGCTTAGCGAAAGGTCCTTTTGTTGAAAATATAAATAGGTCAAAAGCTTAAGCTGAACTTTTGTTTCTTTCGTCAAAAAAAAAAATGAAACACCTTAACTATGGCTTAGGCTACAGTATCCCTCACGTTGTTACAGGCCGTTGCGCCGTGCCTGTTTGCCTTTTTCAGTGCCTTGCCCTCCACAAGCCTATATAGCCAAACGACAGCCAAATAATAATGAATCATTTCATAAATAATGGGTTTAGGGGCTTATCGGGAATGAAGAGGCCGCTGCGGTGCGCTTATCTCACTCGGCCACATTGCGGCCTGTGTTCCGCTCCCCATACTGAGGGAGCGCTCTGGATGCGGAGAGGAATAACTCAGCCACACACACACACACACACACACACCCTACTTTACAACTGGCAGAAAAAAAAGAAAAAGCCCTCAGACATGGATGACCCACTCACAAAATGGCTCCACTCACACAGTAACATCAACAACACGACTGGAGCGGTAAGTGCAAAAAAAAAAAAATACACCTGTTTATTAAAACAATCGTATTGGTTGTTGTAACAGGCTAAACGGATTGCTATCCTCTGAATGTCATTGGTGTTCAGTGCGAAATATTTAGCCTAGATGTTCTGCTATTGTCCGATCGGATGGCTGAGACTGTTCGGGGGATGTAATAACGGATGCGAGGCCTGTTGGAGAATTCCCAGAAATAAAAGTGCGCTTTTTAATTGACGGACTATTGTTGGCATATAATAATATTGTTGTGATATTTATCGAGTGAATTACCGACTAAAAGACCAAACACTGCTGCGCATGTATTCAGCATGACGAGCCTGTGATGTTCGGCTTCAACAACAACAGCAGCAGCAGCAGGCCTTCACTACGACACAACACAAACCGCACAGCCTCCTCTAAAATCTGGGAATATACAAATGATCAGGTTTTGGAAGATTCACGAGGTTATGTACGGATTTGTTGGCGGCAAAGAAAAAAGGGAGGGATTTTATGTCGACGAGTGGATATTTCCAAGTTCTCTTCGTGGTCCTGGAGTCTTCAGAGCACATTAGACGATGATTTCTCCGGTAAATAGACAGCAGCAGATATTGTCTTTCTCTTTGTACCTTTGTAAACTCATACAAAGCTCAAACGTAACTTAAAGTGCCTTCAGATATTAGCTTAACGGTGCAAACTGTGCTGAGGGGCCAAGCACAGATAAGAGATTCATAGAAAAACAGAAACCACAAGAGATAACTTGAAAAATATTATTACCTAACTGGCTTTATAATAAAATGTTTAGTTGAGGCAAATTCTTAATTGTACAATTGTTCAACTTTTCATATCTTCAAGAGTTAAAGCTTTTTTAAATTTAGTAGTCGTACAGCATTAGTGTTATAGTCCTTTGTGACAAACATGGCAGCATTTGTGTTAAAATGATTTTTTTAAAATATCGAACAAAATGCATTAGGCTAACTAATAAAATAATAAACAAACCAGCTCGTATAGGCCTATATCAGTCGTACTGTATTTTTTAATAGCTTAGTTGTTGTGTAAATGTACAGAGTGCTATTTAGAAATTTAACAATGATATTAACAATAATAACATAATGTGGTCAACCAGATTCTGATTTCAATAACAATAACCTTCCTTAATACCCTATATTATGACAGGGAACGCAGATGCGCAGTTATGCAAAATATTAAGACTGCCACAAATCACGTTTTAAATTTTAAAATGAATTCATTTAATAATATATATTATGAAATTTGATTTAGGACGTATAGGAGTCGAGCGAGGGGTGACGGTATAAGAATGATGGAAAAACGGCAGCCGGAGATTTGTCCTGGAAGTCCCGATGCAGAGTCCGGCCCTGGAAAACGGGAGGATTCCTCCATCATCTCCAGACAGAACGGATGCAAGGAGGACGAGGAGCCCAGGAGAGAGGAGGGGGAGGAGGAGAGGGGAGGGGGTTTAAAAGGGGTTGAGGAGACGGATGACGTTCCTCTGCAGAACTCGAGCAACGGGACGAGCATCAGCATCATCATCAACGGCGTTGCCAAGGAAACTGCCTCTCACAACGCCCTTGACCTGAAAAGGGAAGTGCCGGTGATCGAGCTCTCCAGGAGGGACGCTATAAAAGCGCTAGAGCAGAGGACTGAAAGCCATTTGGTGCCGATCACGGAACTTCGCAGACCGCCACCGCTGCCGCTGCCGCCGCCGCATCGAGACGACGCTCGAATGGTCCAGCTGAGCCCAAACGCGTTTCCTGTCCCTGCCCGAGCGATGCTCTACAAACTGGCGCAGCCTCTCGCCGCCATCAACAGGTAAAGGAGATAGAACAGGACAATTCCTAGAGTTTGATGAATGCACATTTCATTTGTCAGTGTTCTCCATGGAAAGTTAAATGTTGGCCAATTATGACCCCTTATGGAAATTTAGCCTAAAAATGTGTGTGCGTGTGTGTGTTGGGGTGTGTGTGTGGGAGGTTATATAGTGGCTGTTTATATAGTCACATTGTGGGGACTCGACGTTCTTATGGGGACATAAAGAGCAAGTCCCCAAAATGTGCATCATGACATCATAAAGTGGTGACTTGATTTAAGGTTAGGGTGAAGTTAAGGTTAGGTCAAGTCTCCAGGAAATGAATGTAAGTCAGTGTAAGGTCTCTTAATGTTATGGAAACACAATGTGCGTTTGTGTGTGTGTTTCTGGTCCAAGGAGTGCAGGGTGGTAAGGGTTATATGCAGTAAATGTATGCTGAAAATTGATGTTTTTCAACTACCTCTGGACCTTTTGTCTGCTTTCTATTGTTGTAGTCTTGGAGGGGAGTCGGAGCAGTACAGCATGTACCCCAGCAACAGGGTAAAGCGCCGCCCGGCGCCTTATGAGGTTGAACTCGACGAGGGTAGGCGCATTTTAGATCTTTATAAGTATGGTAAGACGCACTTCTGCTGTGTCCTCCTTCTGCCAGTGTAGTCCCCTAAACGTCCTTTCATCATTTCCATTGTCATTCATCCACTGACATGGATCTATATTGTACTTAATCAGAGTTTTGCAGAAGATGCCTTTCAAAAGAAAATTCAGCATAAGTGTTTAACCCGTTAGGAATAAATGCATCATAATTCATGGCATAAATGAACGCTGATAATCTGGATGTCAAATACATGCACCTGCATTTCATTAAAATAAACTCTTTTCAAATGAATCAGAGGTTTTTTTCATTAGAAACATCCTTTCCACCATTGCCCACTCGCTGCCATATACAAGGGTGGAGGATGGGGGGTGCTGCTGCCTCCATGCCAAGGTTTTACTGCAGAGTGGGCTGAAGGATTAAGATAGACTGGGTGTGTTCCAAGAGTGACAAAAGCCTGGAAGACACCACTGTTGGGGGAGGGAGGATGTGACTACCTGCAGTGGGGCATTTTATCATACCTCAGTAAATAAAAAGTAAATAGACTATGAAAGAGGGAGCAGTCTATCTTCCCAACACCTTTTCCTGGGGTTTGGCATGCCAAACTAACCATTTCCCTTACCATTTACATAGTACATTTGTATAGTGTATAGGCACCTAACATATTGTATTTATTTTTGCAAGCCTTTATAGCTTTTGTGCCATCATCTCATCTGTGGCTGAATGGAGGACTATTTTGTAACTTAATTCTTTAGGATTAATAAACTTAGTTTTTCCAACAAGTAAATTTTTCTCAAAGCCTATGTGCACATTCTCCCCCTACTACTTTAAATTTATGTTTTTGCACTTATATTCCTTATTTGATTCAGTTCTGCATTTCATGTTGTTTGTATTACAATGTTTTGTCAGTGCCTCTCTCTATGTCTGCCCTTTTGCATCCCTGTCCCTCTGCTAGCTGGCCAGCCAAAGATTGTACGCCGTATCTTCACTAACAGTCGTGAACGTTGGCGGCAACAGAACGTAAATGGGGCTTTTGCAGAGCTGCGCAAACTCATTCCCACTCACCCTCCAGACAAGAAGCTGAGCAAGAATGAGATCCTACGGCTTGCTATGAAGTACATTAGCTTCCTCTCCAACCTCCTGGAGGACCAGGATGGAGGGAGGAATGTTGGCAGCACAACTGATGGGGAAACTGGGCTGCTGGTTGGGGTGGGGACCCATGAGGGTGGCCCTCAGGGTGGACCTCATCAGGACACAGTTGTGGGCCTGGCCAGGGATGATCTTCTGGGGACAATGTCGCCAGGCTCCAGCTGTGGAAGCCTGCCTGATGGCGATGCCGAGGGCAGCCCTGAGAGCTTTATGGAGGACCATGACTCACCTCCAGCTTCAAGGACACTAACGGCTTCCCGTGGGCCCCCTCTGCACCTAGCTGCTAGGGATCTGAGGCACAATGGACGCCCACTGGATGGCTCCAGTCGCCGATGATGCTGAAGCCAATAGACCATGGACTCAACCCCTGAGACTGAAAGAGAACAATGAGAGATGGATATGCTCAGGACTCTGCTAGCTTTGAGCTGTCAATATAGGAAGGAAAATCCAGCTCCAAGAAGTGGGAGAGCTAGTGTTCAAAGCGGATCATGTGTACATCCCTGTCTCACCACTACACCCGAGGCAGCACTGATGATTAGCTTTGGTGATTGGTTGAATTAGATCCAAAAGACTTGTAAATTCTGCATGTCTCATAACTTTGACGGACCTGCGGATTATAACTTTCTGTGGCTTGAAAGTTGAATTCTGAACAAACAAAACAAAACAAACACACAAACAAAAAAGAAAAAAAGCAAAGAAAACCAAACAGTCAAACGAGAGACAACCAACAAAGATTGTTGATGTGTAATAGTGATGTTTGACCAATGCTTCACTTATGATATTATTGATTACGATATAGTGCAGTTAGAATTTGCTTACAAAGTGCTACAAATGTCAATAAATAAATCTAAAAATGTATACCCACCAAACTGAATGTGTTAAAATAATGACACAAAAATAAGATTGCTTCAGTCAGAGGCCACAAGTGAATGGACCGAAGTCTACAGTAGTTGTGCCCATACAGTTACATATGTATTGTAAATAGCATTATATTTCCACCGCACAATGTAATAACAGTGACTCGAGTTCAAGTCATGTGGTTTAAGACGTACTGTATTGTGTTTGTCACTGGGTTTGCTAACAAAAGTGTCTTTTAAGAGACAAGAAATGAGGCAAAATGAGAGGAAACAAGATGAACTCAAAATGTAAAGCAAGCAACTGAACCTAGTATATCAAATGTGGTACAATTTACCTCTGTTACACTTTGGTGATGAGAAAATTACACCAAATGCAGCAGAGAGTTACACAGTTTCACTGACTGGAATGAATATTTGAAATTGCGGTGGAGGTACAAGACATGCAGTGTTCTTAAAGTGTACAAAATATGGGCCACATGAACTCATGAGATGACCCATGCAGTCCTTTTAATATGAATGTCTGTTTTAGTGTTTTTTAACTGTAATGCAGTTGTAGTTTAGTAAGGTACACAAATAAATCCCTTCGTTGCCGCATTTCATTTCACATTTATGTGTACAGACACCCATACAGAGGCACAGGCGCAACACGCACACACACGCACACCATGCTAATATCATAACAACACCAGCAATTTTCTGACACACAGTTAAGTATTGCTCAATGTTGTTGGTTATTCTGCTTTTTCGGCAGGACTTAGTAGCCTATATTGGTACCTTTGGTAACTATATGGTATTTTATGAATTGCAGTAAAGGGATATTGTATGTTTGGTAATGACATATTTGTTGTAAGATAGTTGTATCTATAAATATATCCAATGTTAAATTGCTGAATTTTATACAAAACCCCTGAATAAAACATGCATAGGAAAAACCTTGTATTTGATTTTGCTCAAGCACACTGTGGGTTTTAGTCGGTTCAGTTCAGTTGCACATGAAGCTCAAAATGCACTTTTTTTTGTCACACTTCCTCATGACTAAATTTATACCTTTTATACACTTTTTCATAATTGCATAATTTGCTCTCTGAATCCCCAGATGCAGGCAATGGCATACCATGCAGCTGTTTCCCACCTTATCTGTACAGAGTGTGTAGTTAAAACCACAACCTCCTCATGGAACCCCCCCCCCCCATTGGACCCTGGAATCCTCTCTTCCTCCCAACAAGTGACAACTTCCTGTGGAGGTTAACGTGGCTCGGTGACCTGCAGGATATCCTCCCATTGTGAAAGTGGTTTTGACAGTCTCTGCTGCGCTCATTTGTGTGCTGTTGTGTCTGTACATGCTGTGAAACTGCCTGATTGAAACTCCTTTTGTCCCTTAAGTTATTCACATGTGCAATAAGAAACTTACGTTCACCATCCTGTGGTCATTAATAAGAAACTAGCAGAGCGAGTGTAATTTTGCCACATATACACTGCTTTTCTTTAGTCTAGTTCTCTGTGTTCCATAATGTTAGACTTAGCAGACTTTACCACCAGTAGCAATACTACTTCTAAAAACTACAGATGCTTCCAGAGAGCATAAGACACATCCAGGTGTTTGGAGACCTCTCCTGTGCTCTGCTCTGCCTGCGCTGGGACTCCTCTGAGGGGCTTTCAGGGTTAATGCCTGCCAACCATACCTGCTTCAGTGTTCCTGACTCTCAAAAAGATGCACAGACTCAGAAAAAGAGAGGGATACAGGGAGTGTATATGAGGGAATG